GGGGTGCGGGCTCTGCTCTGAACCGACTCTGTGCTTGGTCTGTGCTTTTCTCTCCCTGTTCCTCAGCCCGCGCCTCGGCCTCGCCCATAGTATGGCAACACGCACGGTGCGGTCAGCAGCGACAAGCCCTCGGTCCGCCCGGCGCCGTAACGTACCCCATGGCGTGCGAACCGGGACGCGGAGCTGGCTGCCCCTGCCCTCCTCCGGCCCTGCTCGCTGTAGTTAGCCTGGGCGAGCGGCCGTAACTTTGCAGAGAGCTGCCGAGCGTTGAACCCTCTCCTCACAGGAGGAAATCTTTTTCCCATTTTGCAAATGAGGATCTGAAGCAAACTGCCATTAAAGGACTTGCCTGTAGTCGTGCAGGAAGTCCGGGGGAGAGCTGAGTTTGCTTCCTTTGCTACAGAATTACTCTTTAAAGCAGAGAGGTGTGTGTGTGAAATGAATGTTTGGCCTTTGTAGGTTGCTCTTAGACTTCCTGGTGTGGGGTGGGTGCTGCAAAAGCATTGACTTGTTAGGGACGGAGAGTTTTCTTGATGGTAGGAGAAAAGCATGTTGCTTAGAAATCGTTGTGATACACCCTTGTGTGAAGACCATGATTTTATTCTTTCCACATCTTCCCGCGAATGTCTGAACACATGCAGGTGAAAGTGCCCACAGACCGTGTCTCTTAGGCTGAGGTTTCCAGCTGAAGTAAGCTAGGCAAGTGGCGTTTTTGAGAAAGGTACATGTATTTTGATGGAGAGAAAACACTGGTTAGTTTGGAGGCTGCTTAAATGCTGCATGTACCATCATATGGAAGCTTGCTGAATGTATAAACATCATATAGCTAATTTGTCTGCTGAGTGCCTGGCCTGAGGAGTGGTGCTGGAGCGGTAGCTGTTTAACTGAAGTATTACCCACTACTCCAGCAGCAGGCTGGATAGCAGCAAAGTGTGTGCTGGTCTTCACCTGGGCTCTCTCTCTTCTCCCCTTCCAGTAGGGGTAAAACCGGAGCCAGCTGTCAGACGATAATAGGTAGTTTTGCATGGCTGAGCTGATAGCATCATTACTGTGACAGTCCACAGATGCAAGGGAGGTCGGTGTGTAGGAAGAGATAACTCAAACCTGACTATGGTATATTTAGGAGAAGAAAAGTGGGAAAGGAAAATGTCAATTTTTTTGGTCTTGTGAGTCCAGAAACTTGTCTGTTCTGTTCTTCCAAGTGAGTCAGCTGGTCTCATGCAGTGGCTTTCCATTTTTGAACTGCAGCCCCCTCAGACTTTGCACTAGGGGCACAGAGCTGGTTAGAAATGTCGTACAGCTGAATGACGTGCACAGGTCTGCTTTTCTTAGTCACCTTTGCAGCACCTGTGGAACAGTCCACGGACTGCCTTCTCACTGCCCCTGGTGTTGGAGAAGACACTTCCTCTCCCAGCGAGCCCTGCCAGTGTCACATTTGTGTTGTGGGTTTCCTGTTCTCCGTGCAGAAAGGCATGGGTGTTTCTTGACTTCTGGATCTGCAGAGAGCTGGGTTTGCGAATGTTCATTTGTGTCGCTTTTTGGAGTTGTATTAGGGAAAACTGTGAAGCTGAAAATCAGGAAGGTGAGTTCAGCTGTTCAGAAGTGATCTCTTCCCAAACATAAATCTAATTGCAATCTAGAGGATAAAGTAATTGCATACCAGACTCTGACGCCAGAGGCATAGAAGGAGCAAGACTGTTGGATGCAGTGAGCTGGAGAGGTTTTTTTCTTGTTAGCTAATTTTGCCTGTGGTGCATGTGGAGATAGAGATGTTTCCAACACCATGCAGTACTGTGAATATTCAGTGTCACTTCAGATAAGCCTGGCAGTTCAGACACGCTTGTGCCCACTCTTCCATTTCCTCATTCCTTTCATTCATAGGTAGATAACGGGCGTTACACCAAATCAAATCTGCCGCACTCTTAGTGGTTATTAAAACATACGTTGGAGGCAGCTTTGTAATGCGGGTGTTAAACAACCCCTGTGGAATAGTCAAAACGCAACAACGTGTTTAGACATCACAGAGCATGTGATGGATGCAGCCCTTTCATGGGAAATAGCTGGAATTCAACTAACGCCCAGTATTGCAGTGTTAAATAGTGGGGTGTTAAATGTCCCTCCTTTCGGATCTAGCGTAACGAGGGAAGTGATTGGGGCTAGATGAGGTCAGAATCCAGTTTAGACTTTCTGCTAAGAAGTTAAAGTAGAATCTGCTATTGCAGCAGTGCAGCAAACTGGGCCCTTCAATCTGGTCTTTCCAAGGCTGACAGAGCTTTGGAAGCAGCTTGTTGAGGCTGAAAGCAGCCGTAATTCAGTGGGGGGGGTTTGTTCTCCACAACCCTTTCTTCCTGACAAATATACGCTATATGGCACAGATTGGCTTTGGAGAAAACCAGTGCTTACTCCTCTGGAGACAAGGCTGTTGTCAAGAGGCAGGAGCTGCATGTACATCTTGCAGAGAAAATGGATGTCCTCTGTCTGCCGTTTTTTTGGTTGGCTAATTACGGTCTTTTGTACTTCGGCGAATGTCAGAACGATAGCTTTAAACATGGATGCAGACTTTCACGTGAGGCGCTTGGTGCCAGCGTGAGCAGGCACGGAGGCTGGCCCTGATGGCCGTTAACAGCACGTGTAACTGAAGTACTCTGTAGAAGTCAGTTGATGCCCAGTGTGCTGCCATTGTTGCAAAGCGGGTTTGTTGTTTTATGCTTATCTGTTAATTTCTTGTTTCTAAACCCTTTTATCTTGTCACTAGGCTGTTCTTTGGAGTTTATTGCACTCGATTAGGGATCGGTTCTCAGAATCGAGGAGTTAGAAGTGAGATTTGAGATAAGTGAGGCCCATTCGGTGCTGCTTTGGACGCCTCCGAAGGGGAAATGGAGTTATCAGGATTGAAAAAGAAGAGTTTGCTAGGACTCAAAGAAAATAATAAAAAATCCAACACTAGGTAATCATTCTGTCCGAATTTTATAGGCTTAACAAAACTGGGGACGTTATAGGGTATTAGGGCTCTCCCAGTGAGGGTGAGGAATTGGACATGTACCTCTTTCTGCGTGAATTTCTGTATGTGAGAATTTCTGTATGCTATAGCTGTCTTCCTCAAAGCTGCTCTGTAATGTAAAATATTTTCCTTTTTCTAAAATGTCCGAACTTGCCTAATGCTGTAACTCGGCAGTTATGGTGATCTTGAGTTACATTTGAAGTTCAATGTTTTGTGTTGCTGTTCTGTTCTTTGTTTGGGTGTGGGGTTTTTGGTGTTTGTGTTTTTTGGTATGAAACAATGTCTTCTGCAATTTGTTCTTGAAGGGCTCCCTCACCAACCAAGCGCAAGGACAGGTCTGAAGAGAAGTCAAAGGACCGGTCCAAGGATAAAGCAGCCACTAAGGACTCGGGTGAAAAGGATCGTGGCCGAGACAAGACACGCAAAAGACGCAGTGCTTCCAGCGGCAGCAGCAGTACCAGGTAGTTACTTTTACAGGTAGTAACAAATTACAGTGTTTTCAGAAACCACCAGCTTGATTTCTGGTATGTTTCATTCCCTGTGTGATGGACTTGTTGAAAGCTTGCATTGTGTTAGTGGCAGTGCAGTTTTGTCTAACTGAAGAGTTGGTTCGGTTTTTTTTTTAGGTATGAATTTCCTTTGGCTGTCTAGTGAGCTATAGAGCATCAGTTTTCATTGTTCTAACCCACAGTTGCTCTCTCCATAATTATCAGAAGTTTTCCAGCTACGCTTTTTCTGTGTGCTCCAATCATTTTTATTCCCTCCCTCCCCCCCCAACAGATCCCGTTCCAGCTCAACTTCCAGTTCAGGGTCCAGTTCCAGCACTGGTTCTAGCAGTGGCTCTAGCTCATCTTCTGCCTCGGGCCGCTCTGGGAGCTCCAGCACTTCACGCAGTTCCAGTTCCAGCAGCTCCTCTGGATCTCCCAGTCCCTCTCGACGGAGGCATGACAACAGGAGACGCTCCCGCTCCAAGTGAGTTTTATTTGCCTTCTAGGAGTTACCAGATGGCAGGTTAATTTCCATATAGAATACAAGATTGTGGTCGGAATAGATTTTTTTTTTTTCTGAGGACCATTTGCTTTCTCCATACCTTAGAGATCTGAATTTTGTTAGAACAGGTGTGCTCCTTTTGCTTACAATCAAAACATATGCCCTGTAGGAAAAGAGATTAAAAAACTCATTTTAAAGAGTGAATTTAAATATTATATTTTGTAGAGGCCGTTTTAACCAATGTTTCCCCAATAGTATGGGAATATATGGGCACTAGATGAGACTAAAGCTCCTTGGTTCCTGTAAATTACAGCCAAGACTAACAGAAAAGTCAGGGCTGAAAATGGTGTATATGTATATGCATGTGTATATGTATATTCTTATGTATAAAAAAATAAAATGGGGGGGGAGCAAAGGAAGCATTTTCCTGTAAGGGTAGGACTCAAACTATGTTAATGTCCATACAGTTTTTCCTTTGGATAATTCTGTAGGTAAGGTGCTGAAGGCTGATAAAATCTACTGAAGTATTATAAGCCAGTATGGTTATTTTTTTAGTATATCCCTCAATTTATGGACAGGAAGATTAGGTAGAAGCATAAATATAAATTTTCTGCATACTGAATTTTTTACAGATTAAAGTTACATTCTGGATTTTTTTTAAAAGAACTACAAAGAAGTTGTGATATGCAGGTACTTAAATATTTTTTTTTAACTGGCGTTTCCGGACCTCTCTAGTGAACAGAAGATACAGAAACACAAATCATTGGATCCATTAATTTGCTTGGATGTGGTATGCTTTGGTGGTTAGGTCCCTATTTTGCCTCTTCAGTTGTTGAGGCAAAGAATGTTTTTTGTTTTAACAACTGGGAAATTCTTTACCGATAGCCAAAAACTTTGACAAAAACTTTGAAGAAATGTTTGCTAAATTTGATGTTTGTTACCATAGTTGCAGTAAAGTTGAAAATTCACAAAAAAAGGCTCTCAAATTCCAGGAGGTTCTAAAGCAAAAGCAGACAAGGCAAATCAAGTCCTGAGGTGTTTCGAAGTGGAACACCCCCACCGCCATCCCAGCACTTCCTAACCTGTAACTTCTTAAGAAAAAAGATGCCCTCCCAAGAAAAATGGAATGTTTTTTTATCATGTGATAATGACTGACTTCTTGGTTTTGTCTTGTACATTCCCTGAACACTGTAAACATTTTCTGTTGTCAAAATCAGGTCCAAGCCACCCAAGAGAGATGAAAAGGAGCGGAAGAGGCGGAGCCCGTCACCCAGACCTACAAAAGTGCATGTTGGAAGGCTCACCAGAAACGTGACCAAGGTAATGGCGTGCTCCCCTGTCATATCGAGCTTGCATATCTTCTGTGAGGACGTGTGAGTGGCTCTTTTAAAGCTCTCAAAACTTCTTTGTCACTAGAGCGCTGCCAAGGGGTTGCTGTTGAAAATTCTTGCTTCGTGTCCAAATTTATCAGTGAGGAGAATTTTGATAGCATTTTACTGAGTCAAATACAGTGCAGGCTTTTGAGACTGTGTACTGCTTAAGAGGTCTGTCCGCTTTGTCAGTATTGCAGACCTTGTACCCTGCCTTACTAGGAAGAAAATTGTAGAAGTTGGGACAATAGCTGAAATTACCTTGGAGGTGTTAAGGATATCTGTAGGTTCTTGGTAAAGGATCCGAAGAGAGCTGGACTGGCTTGAGTTGTCTTTGCTAGAATGTAGTTTAAAGGTCTTCAGAGGTAAAAGGTTTAGGGTGCTGCAAAACTGATGTTTTTCTAAAAATATTAACAATTGCACCTTAAGGGTTTTCAGCTGAGGGCGTGAGTTCCCTTTTCGGGTCCCCAAGAGGATTTTTACACTGCTGTGTTTTTGTAGCCGGTGTTGATATGCAGCAGTAATGCTGCTAGAACTTAAGGTTTGGAACAATCTGAGGTGGAACTGAATAGGCAACAGTAGAGAAAGCAGTGGTAGTCCTTTCCACATCTGGGCAATGAAATGTGTCTCTTCCTGATGGTGGCATTAATTTAAAGCTAATCTAGTGCTGTGGATTTACTGCTCTGCGCCAGCCAGATCTGGTCAGTAAGTGTGGTCTGTGTCCTTAAGACTTGCTCTTTCTCTGCAGGATCACATCATGGAAATTTTTTCCACTTATGGAAAGATTAAAATGATTGACATGCCAGTTGACAGGCTAAATCCACACCTCTCTAAAGGTTATGCTTATGTGGAGTTTGAGAACCCAGATGATGCTGAGAAAGCCCTGAAACACATGGATGGAGGTAGGTGTCCAATGCTGCAAGGAGGCTGGGTGCTTTTAAAAATCTTTGGAGCAGATGAGTTTGATCTGAAAATGAGTTAGAGGTGGCAGGGAGGCCTTTGGGGAAGTGAGCTGAAATACTGTCTGTTTTCAGCCCAAATGGCTTTGGCTTTTGTGTGGTTCAGGACAGATCCCAAACATCACAGAACTATTAAAACTTGAGTTTTTTCAAAACAAACAGTAATAAAATTCTTTAAGTTTCTGTGAAAATCTTTCCTGGTTAACATCTGACCTGCAATTTGATGGGGTATTGGACTAAGTAGTCTGGTATGTATGTGGACTTTGTCAAAATAACCCCCGAGTGGGTGGTGGAAATAAGACTGTAGGCTGATTCACGCTTCAGTTGCTTGTGACAAAGCTGTGAGTTGCAGTAATGTGATGTGTAGATGTTAGTGATGGGAAATACTTACTTCGTCCTGTTTCTGTGCTTCCCTAAAAAGGCCAGATTGATGGTCAGGAGATCACTGCCACAGCTGTGCTGGCACCACGACCTAGGCCGCCTCCCAGACGCTTTAGCCCACCCAGGAGGATGCTGCCGCCACCACCGATGTGGCGCAGGTCACCCCCTCGCATGAGGAGAAGGTGAGAGCTGTGACAATTTGTATTTCTTTCTCAGTGTAACAACATGTTATCGCTGAAAGAGTCGGCACGGGGACAGTTTCATCCTCTTGGACTTGACTTTCCCCTCCAAATGACAGTAACGCCTTTTGGGCATCGGTTGAACCTGGGTTCTACTTCTTAAGTCCTTAGCACCAGGGTGACCTGCTCTGGTCTACACCCTGAACGCAGTCTGTTGGAAATGTCGGGTGCTCTCCAGCGTGTTCCCTGGGGTCCCTTCTGCATAAATGCTTCGAGCTAAAGTGGGAATGGACTCCTGGCTGGCAGAATGCTTTTGGCAGCCTGCTCCAGCCGCTTGCTTTTCTGAAGCCCTTGCACCTCCCTCCTCTGCGAATGGGCACACGACCAAAGAACAGTCCTTCTGCATCAGGTGAGCAGAGTACACCGACCCCAAGATGTGACCTGATAGGCACGCACCCGTGGTGCGATGTGGGGCTGCCGGAATGTGCTCAGATAATAAGTCTTTTGGAGTCTTCCTCAGCATTTATATGGGCTCCTCCGTCTTGGAAATCTGCTTAAACTCTTGTCACTAGTAAAAGCGGCTCCTGTTTGAGCCGCTTGATTGCTGAACAGCTTATGAACTACAGGTTTAAAAATGAGAACTAGTTAACGTGGCACAAGATCCACTGCCTGTTGGTCCTCCTTTAAACAGGCCTCTTGCTGAGGTCTGGCAAATGCTGGATTTGGCTTTCCCTCCTCATTGTTGGTTTTCTTCCCTCGTCTAACTTCTATTATCCTGTTCAGGCTCTGTTAATATTCTGTGCCTGGAACCTTGGTGGCCATGCAGATTGATTGTAGTACTGAAGAGCTTGAAGCTTAACTATTTCTTTAGAGTTAGACTTCCTCTAAGAAACGTCCCTGTGGTTTGAAAGGGTTTATGTGAGTCCTTTCCCTGAATATCACTGCGTTGCAGGAGTCAAAGCTGACTTCTCAGGTGAAGGAGAATCTGATGTAGAATGAACTTGAGTTTGTTTTGCTTGAGGAAGAAGACAAGATTTGTCTCTGTTCTATGGATTCTACACGTTCTTTCACTTGCTGAAGCAGAGGGAGGGTAGCCAGAATATTCCTGCTTTCTTCTCCGGAGCTGTCCGTGTTTGGCTGGAGCTCTTTTCCCATGGTGTGCAAGGGTTTTTTGGAGGCGGGTGGGAAGCGTTTTTGGAAAGTTGGTAGATGAGCTGACATACTGGAACCTGTTGCTCTTGTCTCCTAATGACAGCTTTCTCCTCCTCCTCCGTCAGGTCGCGGTCTCCTAGGCGCAGATCCCCTGTTCGCCGGCGATCAAGATCCAGATCTCCTGGACGAAGGCGCCATCGCAGCCGCTCCAGCTCAAACTCCTCACGATAAAGCAAAAAGACTGGACAGCTTTTTATTTTTTAACTTAAATCCCGTCAGACTAAATATTGTACCTTTTTTTTATAATGGGTCTGGGTGAGGAGGAGTGGGAGAGAGTATCCTGGCAGTGAAGGCAACCTAAGAGGAGAGAGCAACAGTTCCCGGCCAATAGATAGCCTTTGCTGAGGGGCTTCTAGTTTCCTGGCATTGAATTGAAATTATTTAAAAATGGCATTGATTTTAAAGGCTGCATAAAACATCTTTTCCAGATAAACGGAAGGAAAGGTGTTACAGCCTCTCTTTTTCTCCAGTTAGCAGGCTGCTGCTTGGTGATTTCTAAATGCTTAGCACGCTGTACAGACGAGCATGTAAATCTTGAACTATTTCAGAAACCCTGTATACTAAGGCAGGGAGGCATTTAACTTGATCTCTAGGTGCCAGCACAGGATTTTTCAGAGCAGCTGGGGTGCAGACCTGCCTGAGGCTTAAATACCGAGTTGTCGCTTTATTCCAATTCCCAAACAGCTTATTAGGTCCTGCAGAGTAAGCTCTTCCTGCAGATTAAGCTGTTCTGTAGCACATGCACCAGGCGCTCACCACAGAAACAACGGTCCAGTACTTTAGAAAAGAAGCTGGAAGTCTTAAGAACTGGTTTGTAGCTGCCCCCGTAAGTGATTTCTTTCACCTTTTCTTAAAGGGTTTTGGTAAGAGCTTCCTACACAGCCCCCCAGCGAAACGGCGTGAGCGCTTCTGCTTTTGCAAATCTCCAATTAGCGACAGCGTCAGCCCCTGGAAGCTGCCAGGCAGAGCGGGAGGCTCGAGCCGCGATGCTGTCTGGGTTAACTGGGGTTCGCATAGGGAAAGGCAAAGAATTTACCACCTGTTGTACAGTCAATACTATAAAGATTTTTTTTTTTGTTTTGTATCACTTTGTAGCCTTTTGGGCCATGTTGTGTTTGTACTTGTGTAGGACGAGCGACTATTGAATAAAGCAGTAGGGTTGAGAATCGCCGGCTGCCTTGCTCCCTTCTCCAGCCCCTCGCCCTGCGCAGCAGCGGTGGGGCCGGCAGCCCCCCGGACCGGCGATTTGTGCGGCGAGACCGGCGCCGCGCTCCCGCCGGGCG